GAAGGATTTTCGCTGATTCTTAAATTTTCTTTTTATTTTATTTTTTTTTCTTCTTGTAATTTTTTCCCTTTTTCTTTTTTTCTTTCTTTTCCTTTAACACAACGCGTAGAACATTTTTCGTTCCGTGGCGAACTTCGTAAAAAATGTGGCTGTAATTTATCGTTAAAAAAGTAATATAAAATATAAAAAACAGAGAACAACGAATACGCGCCAACGGAAAATATATTACATATGTGAATCTCTTTTTTTTATGATTTCTTTTTATTTTTCATCTTTTTCGTAACATCTATTGTGTGTTGTATATCACAAAAGTATATAAAAATGGTAAAAAAGTCAACTAAAATTGTACATATTCAACGAGTCTCTCTCTCTCTCTCTCTCTGTCTTTCTTTCTTTCTCGGTTAGTTAGAAAATAGAAAAGGAAAAACGAAAAAAAAGTAAAAAAAAAAAAAAAAGAGAGAAAGAGACGCGTTAAGTCGTCAACGTCAACAGTGTCACTTTTATCGTCGTCATCTTCGTCGTCGTTACTTGTTCTCCTTCGTCGATGATATTTTATCAATCCTATATCAAACGTCAATTTCTTTTTTTTTTTTTTTGTTCTTATCGAAAAAGAACGTTTCTCAATAATATATATATATATAAGTTTTATTTCCCTCTTGTTTTTTTTTTCGGTATGACGAGCTTATAAATTTTAAAAAGGGAAAGAAAAAGAAAAAGATATTGTAAATAAAATAATACAACTCGCGCGAACACAATTAATTACTTCACACTGTCAATTAATTTCGGTGGAAGAAAAAATTATTTTTGCGCATCGGTGACATACTTTTTTTATTTTCAACTACCACCACTACTACCACCACTACCTTACCGTTACAAAATATCACGTCACCACTATTACTCTACCAATACACTTCTACCATTAGTAAGAAAACGGCGTTATCGTTCTCGTGAATATTATTGTTATTATTATTATTATTATTATTATTTAAATTATTATCGCAATGCAGGGCGAGAAGAAGAAAAAACTAACAAATCGAATCTCAGAAAAGTGTGACTTTAGAGCACGTGAGAGAGAGAGAGAGAGAGAGTAATAGTTATAATTTGTTCTCTCTCTCTCCCTCTCTTTCTTTCTTTCTCTCGCACGAACTAGTGTAATATGTCACATACATTATTATACACGCATACACATGTCTTAACATACTTATACATAGAATTTTTAATTTTATTCTATCTCTCTCTCTCTCTCACACACACACACACTCTTGTTCTCTCTCATACTTTCTCTCTCTCTCTCTCGCTCTCTTTCTTTCTATCTTTATCTTTTTCTCAACTTTCAAAACAATGTTGATGAACTCTCTATCGTTTAATGCGTAATGATTAAACTGAGAAAAAGGGAGAGAGAGAAAAATATAACTTTATTCTCACAATATGATTTACACATACTTACATACGTAAATATAGAGTATGTATCTGTTGTAAATGTAAAATCTGTAAAAAAAAAAGCACTGACGTCTAAATACACGAACTAATATACTTACACACAGCGAAACGTCGGCCTCCTATTGTAGAATAGATTTAATAATGGCAGTAGGGCTTATATCGATCACCGCCCAGGCTCACTATGAATTCAATAGCATTGATTTATATTATACTTACTTACATATATATGTATATATATATATATATATATTAGTTTATATATTTATCTGTATATATGTAATTGTACATAGATCATCTCACTTTTTTATTAAATTCTCTTTTATCAAAATAATCGATTGTTATATAAATCAAGAAATTAAATTCATAATGAGTCAATTTTTTCTCACGTTAATTCTTAGGTAATTACAATTATATACGAACGGTAGTAATTTGTTAACCATTAATTAAGCATGGTAAATAAATATTGTCCCTTAAGATCATGGATCTTTTTTTGAAACTTTAATTTTTTTTTCTTTTTTAGATATCGTAATTAATTCATGACACGGATGTGTAAATTTTTTATATAAAACGTAACGAATCCCTTTAATTGCACTAATAGTAATAAGCACCACTAAACCTCTTTTTCTTCTTTTTTTTTTCTTTCTTTTCTTTTCTCTCTCTCTCTCTCTCTCTCTCTCTCTCTCTCTTTCTCTTTCCACTTTTTCGTAATATCGAATACATCGAGAGTATAAAAAGGAAAGGAAAGAAAAAAGATACACGTCAGCATTTTTAATGATAACACGCACACACGTGGCACGCAAGAGATTAATTATGTATTGTAATTATTATTATTATTATTATTAATTATCCGAATAGCGGCCGAATCTTGTGCTTGAGAATTTATATATATATACGTATTAATACCACCATTATCACAACCACCAGCATTACTACCTATACTAATATTATAACTATTACCACTACAATTCACTTGTTACTTTAGTGCAAGAAAACAATTTTATTAATATATATATATATAAAGTATGAGCCTGCATTATTTATTATTATTATTATTATTATTATACAGCGAATCTTTTGTCCGAATTTCTGGCTACTTTTTCTCTCCTACCGTAATGTATATTGTACATACCTATATATATATAACCTAGAGCACAGATATCTTAACATATAGGTGTGTGTTTAGTTGTCCAATCACGTTAGTCGGCTAAAAAGACATAAGCCGAGTCCCTATCACAAATTATCGGTAAGTTTAGACCATTGTTTGTAATTTTGTGGGTGTGTGTGTATATAGGTATACGTTAAGAAGTTATCCTTATGTGCATATATGTATACGCATATATACATACATGTACATGTATGTGTGCGTACGTAAAATAAAAAATAATAAGACAAGATAAAAAAGAAAAAAAACCGATAAGCGTATTTTGACAACAATTGTTCTGCTGTTGCTGATACTGCTGCAAAATATTCTCCTCCACATTGGCAAAGATAAAGTAAGCATAAAAAGAAGAAAACGCGTAGATACGAACCGTCTCACGCGCATCAATGATTAATTATTTTTTTGTATATTTTGTCAATGATGATCATCGCATAAGACATTTTTATTCTATTTAATTAACATATTTTCTTATAGGTATGCGTATGTATATATTTTTTGGATTTTTTTCTTTTTCTTTTAATTAACCGTATCGTTGGCATGGATGACTATACTGTTTGTATCGGGTCACAGACGAATTATCTCGCAACGACTAAACTGCTTGTACAAAATCACAGACGTATTATACCGCGCTGCGGTACCATTGCCACAGACATATCTCGAGTGCTTCATTATTAGATTAAGAACTTTTATTCAGAAAAGCGGTAATTTTGATAAGGATATATAATAAAGTAAAGCTTTGATTTAAGGATATTTCAAATTTATAAGTTCTCTGTATGGTACCATTCCAAGCAGAGAATTGCACATAACGCGACATCACAATTCTTACAATAATAGCTAATTTCTTTATGAATTGATCTTATTTTGCACCATACACAACGCTTCGTAGGATCAAGTTTTTTTTTGTTAGAGGTTTTTTCTTTCAGAAATATCTGGAATGAAAGCGAAGCGAATAGAAATGATTCCAGTTCCCTTTCTGTTGAAAATTATTCTCCGAATTATGGTATTTTTTTAGTAACCCCAATACTATATCTTCTTTTATTTCATGTAAATTGCGAGATAACTCGTCTGTGATCCGATACAAGCAGTTTCCTCATCGCGAGATAACTCGTCTATGCCGACGAAACGGTTAACATAAAGAAGCTACAAATCTTTTATTTTTCTAATTATTTTTCTTTTCTTCGTTGATTTCATCATCGTTCAAAATGGCCGTTCGGAATGAACGAAAAATAATATAGAGAGAAAAAAGTGACGTATCGGTGATCTTCTATGGATTTTTATACATATTTTTCTTTTTTTAAATCTTCATTTATTCTACGTATAAATCTATATAGATATATACATACAAAAAGTATTTTTTTCCCCCGTTTCTTTTTTATCAAATTCAAGGAACAAAATTACGCGCTAAGAAAACGCGTTCTACTCAACATGGCGGCAGGCTAAAATGGTATACGGGTATTAAAGAGAGAAAAACAAAATAGTCTATGATAGATACACAGAGTGTGTAACGTCTGTAAAATGAAATTTTTTGCTAAAAACAATATTTAAAGAAAAATACGAGAAATAAAAATGATAAATGAAAAAAAAGGAAAGAATAATATTTTCTTATTTCAAAAAAAAAAGAAATAATAATAATAAAACGAAATAAACGCAAAAAAAAAAAATAAATAAGTAAATAATAAAACGAACGGAAAATAAAAGGAAAAAGAAGTTATCGACTTCACTTTTTTTTTCTCTTCTCTCTTCCTGTCGTCTCGTGCACAACGTTTAATTTTGTCCACGTAATAATGAAATTGCATGAGTCTCTATCTCTATCTATCTTTATTTGTCTCTCCCTCTCACATTATCTCTCTCTCTCTCTTTCTCTTCTGTACTTACTTTTCTTTCTCTTTCAATCTCTTTCAACTATTATCTTTTCTCTCTCTCTCTCTCTCTCTCTTTTTCTATCTATCTATATTTCTCTTTCTCTCTCAGTCTATCTGTATCTCTCTGTCTATATCTATCTCTTTATCTTGATCTTTCTCGGAGTAAGACACGTTCCGAGTAGATAGCATAAAAAGAATAAGATGAAGAAGATGTTACGGTGGTAACGGAGAGAGTACGGAAGAAGAGAGCGAAAGAATTGTCGCGCGAACGTGCTAGAGTTGATTGATCTCTTTTTTTATATATGTATACGTATATATACATACACACGCATTCAAACATAATGTATATGTATGTACATATATATTAAAAAAACGACGTATGTATGTGATATCTGTATAATATATGTATACATATCCATGTACATTGTTTTAGAGCGTGCACACAGTAGTTGCTTGAAAAATACTTTGATCCTTGAATAAATACGCTTACCCTGTCATCCATTGCGACAGATTTTCTAATATATTTTTTGTGTTGACAGACATATTGTCGTGTGTGGTCATATCACCTACGAATCGGTCTCGCACTTTCTCAAGGACTTCTTACACGAGGATCGCGAGGACGTCGATGTAGAAGTTGTCTTCTTACATAGGTATGAACATCGATAGCAATAAAAAGGAGAAAGAAAGAAAAGAAATGAAAAGATATAGAGGAAAGAGTAAGGACCGAGTTGATAACCCATTCGATCATCGTCTTTTATTTTTTAATCATTATTAATATATATTTTTTTCATTTATATATCCATTTATCTACCTATATATATATATATATATAGTATTTTTTTTTCTCATAATTATTTTTTCTTTTTCATATTATTTTCATTATTTATTTACTATCGTTCCTATCCTTCTTCTATCGCACGATAATCAATGGAAGTCCTTTATTCTTTATATTTACTTTTTTTTATTTTCTTCAATATAAAATATAAGCTACAAGTATGCGTAAAGATGGCGTCATTAACACAAAATATGTTTTAAGTAAGTCTACTACTGTCATATCACAATCACAAAGCAATCTTACACATTTCACCCCCTTCAATCTTATCTCATTATATATACATATATATATATATATTACCTTGTTGGTATACGATCATATTTTATATAATTGTTCCATTACGTCATAACCATATGCGATATGGCGACATGGTGGTGAGTATACGTCGCCATACGTTTCAAAATATTCTCTCTCTATTTCTATCTCTCTCTCTTTTTCTATCTATCCCTCTCACTCTCTCTCTCTCACTCTCTCTCTTTCTTTTTATATCCCTTTCTCTATCCCTCTCTATCTTTTTCTTTCCTCCGTTCGATAGACACTATTTTTCTGTGACACGATGAAAGGGCGATCAGACGGAATGGATCACATGACTCGTTTAATTTTGCAACGATGAAATCCAACTGAAGAAATGAACGAATAAGAAAATGACAGATAATAATATAAAAGAAAATCAAAGAAAATATACATGAGGAACGTAAACAGGAAACGAGAATACGTCTTTTCGAATTTTCTGGCGTGAGTTGTTTTCTAAAAGAATTCTAATCGATCAAACGAATGAACGAACGAACGAACGAACAAACAAACAAACGACTTTAACGTGCTAGTTCACTCAGAACAGTGTTGTTCTGAAAATGGTTAAAGAAGTCTGATCGCCGTTGTCGTAAGGAGTGATCTGTTTTTTCAGGAAAGAACCAGATCTCGAATTGGAGGGTCTCCTCAAGAGGCATTACACCACCGTGGAGTTTTTTCAGGGCACGATGATGAATGCTGTGGATCTGGAACGCGTCAAGGTATCCTGAACCCTAGAACAACTATACCACACGAACAAATAAAACAAAAAACAAATTATATATACAACAAACCAACAAATGAACTTCCATCAATCTAGCGATACGTATTATATCTCGAAACGAAAGCCCTTCACGCGAGCTTTTTCTTCTTCTTCTTCTTCTTCTTCTTTTTCTTATTCTTTCCTTGCAGCTCTCTTTAGGTTCTTTTAACTCGGCTGGATAATGAGAAAAATACGCGTCATTGAAAATATATTCACATCTATCGTGATCCACGAAACATCGATAGAGAGTATATAATTATCATCTACGTTTGCCTATCTCTATCTCTTTCTCTCTTTCTCTTTTTATCATTGTCATTATCATTATTATCGTTACTAATCTTTCATCATAACTGTTATAACATTATTATTTCTTTTTTCTTATATTTTTTTTAAATTACTCTAATTAATATCTTTACTTTAATTTTTATTATTTATTGAATTATTTCGTTTGTTTTTATATTTGAAATAATTTAATATTATCGACTATACACTAAACGCGCGCGAGCGTACACACATCATATACGCACGCACGCAATATATTATGTAGAATGCAATCGCCTGCGACTGCATGGTATGCTGTATTGAGCTATGAAGCCGAATCAGCGTGCAGTAGAGACTTACTTAGATCTATTTAGCATACATCTCGATCTATCGTCGATAATCAAAATTATACATATATCTATATGTATATATGTATATATATATATATAGATAGAATATCCCTGACCTGATATTAAATAATTTAATTGACAAAAATGATTTCTTTTAATCTTCAATCGTAATCGACAGTGATCGAGAGTGGATGTTAATTTGTATTTACTTTAATATCGCTTTAATTATAATATACTATAATTATATTATTTATTTCATTCATTTAAACATACACATATACGTTTTCATATCGCTATATGTGTATGTAGATTATATATTTATTATCTATTTATATTTATTTATTATATATATTTATATATGTATTATATATAAATATATACAAATAATAAAGAGCAAAGTAAAAAGCACACACAAGTCGGAGATACTTCGGCGAGCTAGGTGCACGTCGATTGGTTCGACGATATATTCTCATACTCGCTGTAAGAGAAAAAGGATGTTTCGCTGAAAATCCAAGGTGAACGTACATTTCTAAAAGAAATATCTATCATTTTGTCTCGGACTCGTGCCACCATTTAGGAAGCCACCAGATCTCGAGCTGGAAGGATTGTTCAAGCGACACTTCACCACCGTGGAGTTCTTTCAGGGGACCATCATGAACCCCATTGACCTACATCGGGTCAAGGTGAGTCTTCGAGGTCACGATTAAGACGTCGATGATACTTGCGTGAAATAATACTTACATTAATTATCGTTATCTCTCTCTCTCTATCTCTCTTTATTCATTTTCTCCTAATGAAAATTTCGCGTTCTCTTTTGTCGACATTAACGACGATTATTATCTATTTCTATACTTCTACTTGCGCGATATTACAATTTTATCCACAAGATTCCATAAAAAACGTTTTCTTTGAATATTCAAAATAAACAAATTATAATTTATAGGATGGTTGTTGTTTGTGTATCAAGAGTCCCAAAATTTCCAACTATGTCAGCTATAAATATTGATCGTGTCCGCGAAATATTTTTTCTCCCTATTTTTATTCCCTACTCTATTTTTTATCACTTGTTTTGCCTATCTGTCTGTCTTATCGCGCCTGATAAGCTGTCATGCGTGCTTTCATATGTTCTTTGTGTGTGCGTGATAGACAACGCAAAACCATCCAGACAGTACAATGTTTTTCCATCATCTTGTATTCTCGAGAGTATATTTAAAAAAGAATAAAAGTATTAACAGAAAAAAAAGGAAGGACCTTTACCCTTTATTTTATTATACAAATGATTCCTCATTTAAAAATAAAACAAGTAACATCCATGTTAATTTTTCCCTTATACATATGTATTTATACGTATACTTTTATACACGTATATAATATACATGAGTATATACATATATATATGCATCTATAGATGCATATTTAATTAATTCCTTCATTAAATGTTCCTCGAAACTTTCACAAAAGAAAGGACGTAAACGTAACCTTCTTATAAAGGTTATGTGTTTCACCCACCGGATAAACCCATACCTGCTATCATCCCGAGTGGGGTAAGTGTTGGGAGATTATTTGGTAGATGCGAAATGGTCACATCGTATTCTCTCTCTCTCTCTCTCTCTCCTCTTAATTAATTATTAGAAACATTTAGAACGTTAGTTTATTAATATAATATTATTTATTTTGTATTATATATTAGTAAGGAATTGTTTCATTTTTTCCTATGAAAAAATTTCTATAGGTTTTACGATTACCTCTATCTTTCTCTCTCTCTCTCTCTCTTTTTCTGTCTATCTCTCTCTCTCTCATTATTTTATTATATTATGAACTAGATATATATATATATATATATATATATTAGAGTGGGTAAAAAAAATCAATTATTTTTTTTTTTTACAAGTGCCACAGAAAAATGGGTTGCTAGACACCTTAAAAAATTTCTCACCAAATATGAGCTCTTAATTTTAATAGGAAGATCCTCCGCATCGCAGTTTTTTATTTTTTTCTCAGTCCAATAGAATATAAAATTCGTATCTCATCATTAATTGATTGTACAGAAAAATTTTCTGAAAGAATTTTGTAGGAAATTTAATGCTCTACAAAAAAGGTATCTTATATTTTTTCCGTAAACCTCATCATTTGAATTATATTGAAGATTTAAGTTTGATTATTTTAAGACAAATTTCATTTTTGTTTATGAGTTTTATAACTCGACAATAAATGACTATTAAAAAATGCACAATACAAATTTTTGTAGGAAATTAACTGCTCTATAAAAATGGTGTCTTATGTTTTGGCGATTAAATTAAGCGTTCAAAAGAATTCATTATTCATTATCAATTCGAAATTCGAATTCGAAATTCATTATCAAACTTTCATATGTACTGATTTCTGTCTCTGAATATCTTTTGAACGCTTAATTTAATCGCCAAAACATGGTATCTTATGTAGTTAGTTTCCTACAAAAATTTATATTGCGCATTTTTTAATAGTCATTTATTGTCGAGTTATAAAATTCATAAACAAAAATGAAATTTATTTTAAAATAATCAAACTTAAATCTTCAATATTATTCAAATGGTGAGGTTTACGGAAAAAATATAAGATACCTTTTTTGTAGAGCATTAAATTTCCTACAAAATTCTTCCAGAACATTTTTCTGTACAATCAATTAATGATGAGGTATGAATTTTATATTCTATTGGACTGAGAAAAAAATAAAAAACTGCGATGCGGAGGATCTTCCTATTAAAATTAAGAGCTCATATTTGGTGAGAATTTTTTTAAAGTGTCTAGCAACCCATTTTTTCGTGGCACTTGTAAAAAAAAAATAATTGTTTTTTTTGACACACCCTAATATATATATAAATAAATAGATATATAGATATATACATATATACATAATTCATTTTTGCGTTGTAACGTTCTTTTGGCTGCGTTCTTATCTTATTGCGTAATTGATGCTTCGTAGTTTTCGTCGAGCTTTAACTTCAAGTTTATGATAGTTCTCGTTAGTTTGGCATGATAATTAATTCATTCATTCATTAGTTGATACGTGCAGATACACGTGCAACCTGCGACCTACGTTAACCCATCAATCCCTCTCCTGTCTTTCCAAAGATCGGCAAATTTCATACGATCGATCATCATCTGTTTGTCCATTTTTCTTCTCTCTTTCTCTCTCTCTCTCTCTCTTTTTCTTTCTTTATCTAAATAAATACATTTACATATGACTCAAGAAACGTGTAGTTAGTCTCTCTTTCTCTTTCTGTTTTATTTTTCTTTCATATTTTTCTTCTTTAAATGATTTTTCATGAAACTCACATTTTCATAATGCCTATATCTCTCGGTATGTATGTAAAACACGTTCAATTCTTAAAACATAGTTTTCTTTTATTTCATACACAATTATATACATTCAGACCACATATAAATCGATTAATCGGGTTTTTACTAATAATTAAATGACTTGAAATCGTTATTAGTAAAATTAAAATGTGTTCTCGTTTGTTTTTTATGACTATTAGCAATAGTTTGTAACGTATCATCAAGCCCGAGTCTTTAGTCACATTAACGCGATGAAACATCTCTTTCTTTTTTTCTCTCTTTTTCTTTCTATCACTCTTTCTCTCTCTTTTTCTCTCTCATTCTTTGTCGTTCTTGGTCTTTCTAGTTCGTGTCACTTTTTATTTAACCTGCTCGACTTTTCTCTTCAGACGAGTGTCGTTACTTATGATAAAGAACTCGCAGTTTATTACATATCCTCGGGCGATGATGTTTAATAAGAAACATAATCTCTTTTTTTTGTTTCTTCATAGTTCTTCTTTTCATTTTATTTTATTATTAATTTTTCGATTTTTATCCAATTCGCGAAGTTTGTCGATCTCGTATTGGGTATTTCATATATTTATTATTATTATTATTATTTATTAATAATAATAAAGAATTGTTTAATTATTTGTTCGCATTTTTTCGAACGGTTCGTAATGACGAAGGGCAATAATTATCGCTTATGACAATTCGCCTATTTGAAACTATTTCTCTCCCTTTCGTCCCTACCCATTCTCGAATGATGAAACCTCACGAATAGTGCAACAATCCGTTCAAATGATTTTCAGGTCCACGATGCGGACGCGTGTTTGGTTTTGGCAAATAAGTATTGTCAGGACCCGGACGCCGAGGACGCGGCCAACATCATGCGCGTCATCTCCATCAAGAACTATTCGGATGACATTCGTGTTATTATACAGCTAATGCAGTATCACAACAAGGTATCAAAACAAATCAAAATAATGAAATATTATTAATATGAAAAAATCATTTAACACGTTAAACGTCAAAGACTCTTTTGTTATAAGCTTTTTATTCAAGAAAGTCTTAGGGTGGGGTCCCTAAGGACAAGGGAAAAGAGTAAAGGAATAACGTTTGACGTTTGTATCCAAGTAAAAAAGGGATCTCTACAATTTACAATTACAAATAATGTAATTTTAATATAAAAATTATATTAATATATGTATAAATATTAATTTTAATATTAATATTTATTATAATAATTAATATAAATATTAATTATTATATAATAAAATGTTAATATATACTATAAGATTTATTAATAATCTTAATTATACATATATAATATAATTAAAATTATAATTAATAAAAATATATATTTATATAAAAATAGAGCAACAATCCGCACCATAAAAATTAATTCCAATTAATTAAATTTTGTCCGATTAATTAACAATTGGAATCATTTGGAGGCAATTGTATAAACATTTTTATTTGTTATAGAAAAATGAATAAACAGATATTTGATCTGGGACAGATAATATATATATTATATTTTCTATATATTACGTTTTAGGCCTATTTACTAAACATTCCATCGTGGGATTGGAAGCAGGGCGACGATGTAATTTGCCTGGCCGAATTGAAGTTAGGATTTATCGCGCAGTCCTGCCTGGCACCAGGATTCAGCACAATGATGGCTAATCTCTTCGCCATGCGATCCTTCAAGACGGTCAGTAGAAAATCATATGTCATCCCATTGGCAAATTAAATATATTATTTGCCTATTTCCTTTTATTCTATGCATGTGTGCAAGTACGTTACTCGTAAGTTTTTCAGCGTTAGGTCGTTCAATTTTTTTCTTTTTTTTCTCTATTCTTCTCACTCACTCTATTAATTTCTTTCTTCTTCTATCTCTTTCTCTCTCTCTCTCTCTCTTTCTCCTACTTTTCTATCAATCTATCTGTCTCCCTTTGTCTAATTGACGACGCGAGATTTTTTTTTATTAAGACAACTCTCTTTCGTGCAAGAGTTCAAGAGTGCAAGAGAGCTAAAATCAAAATATCGATTGGAGTTCATTGACTTTACGTACGTTTTTTAAATAATAATCGAATTAATGTTTTCCGATTAAAAATAAAACAAAAAAGAAATCAAAATTCATTCAAATCTAGTGAAATTGTGTTACCAATCGATCGAACTATGTTTTTACTTACTTTCCTTTTTTTTCTCTTTCTTTTTCTCTATCTCTATCTCTCTTTCTGACACACTCCCCTATCTTTTCTCAATCTTTCTAATTTTGTTTTTGTAACTCCTGGCTCGCAAAAAAAAATATTTTATATAACGAAGCATGGCGTCGCCAACGAAAATGAGTACGTACCTTAAGAGACGCGTAAGCGTGAGCTCACGTGTGTTTGTGTGTGTACGTGAATTAACGTCATGTCACACACAACACGTCTAACTTCGTGTCTCGCGTACAACGTGGAAAAATGCGCACAATCCGTACATGCATAGGAGTGTGTGTGATTTAGAAATGGTCGGTTGATTGGTACCAGTCGCCCAATATACAGGCTTGGCAGAATGACTACCTACGTGGAACTGGAATGGAGATGTACACCGAGACACTGAGCCCTACCTTCATTGGAATGCCTTTTGCGAGAGCAACTGAGTAAGTCGGTCCATGACCAATCAAAACAATCCAAAAAAAATTGATACGTGTATCTCTGATTCAAGAGACGAGACCTAATTTATAATTATTAATATTAATCATAATATTATTACTATTCCTTATGTATCTTTTTTTCTTTTTTTTTTTTCATACGATATTAATCAATCGTTTAACTCTCATATTAAAAAAAAAAAAAATAATAATATAAAAAAAGCGAAGTCTTTAACTGATCTAGAACAAACTATCTTTAATCGATCGTGATCTTGATCTCTGCCATTTTATCTTTTACTAATACACCCCATCGCTTTTTGTAATTAACTGTTCATCCCGTTAAATCTTTCTAATCGAGGAATGGATTAATTATACTGTTTGCTATTATTACTCGACAATTTCTGTATAGAAATTAAAATTAAATATATATATCTTTTTTTTCTATCGTGATTAAAGGTATTTGAAATACTTATATACATTTTTTTAAAGAATTTTAATGTAAAAAAAAAATGTAGACACACTAATGCGTTAAAAATATTATTTTATGTTAGAAAATATGACCGTATTTAGGATAAAATCGTATCACTTTATTTTCTAATTGTAAAATATAAATTAGGACTAACAACGTCTATTGTCAGTCTTAGTCGAAAGAAATGCTAATAGCGTCTCGTTTAATTAAAAAATCTTTTTTTCTCGAGTTGTACCATTTGTTTCTCTTTGTTTCTTATTTTTTCTTCTTTTTTTCTTTCTTTCTTTCTTTTTCAACGACCACGACGTTTAGTATAATATAGCTCGTCTCTCTCTCTCTTCATACAAATGTCACTTCTCGTCTTTCTTAAAGAGGAGGGAATTGAAAAAGGGCTCGGATGTCTCTTGAATCGGATAGAAAGCAAGCAACAAT